AGAAACTATTTAGGTAGCTGGAGTGGGAAGTGGTTCAAACAGAAGCAGAAGTATGTGTGAAGGTCTGGAGACCCAAGGAAGGAGCTAGGAGACGTCAGGGAGCCCGTGGCAGAGTCTGCGTTACACAGTTTGGGCTTTGTCCCAAGGGAAGTCATTTATTGGTGGATTTTAGGTAGGGCAATGACATGATAAGATTTATATTTTGGATGTATATATCAATATCCATGCAATTGACATTTCCCCCTTTACCAGCTTGGTATACAAAAATGTTACCCTTCCTGAAAATTCAAATCTTAATGGCTAGGAGCCTCCACCCACCCAGATTAAAAGAAAGATTCTATCTTTGAGATTCATGTCTCAATATATTTCCTTTTTTTTAATTGGTATATAATACTGTGTAGGTTTAAGGTACACCATGTTGATTTGATATACTTGTTATTGCAATATGATTACCTCCCTAGAGTTAGTTGACACCTCCATCACCTCACATAATTGTCCTTTCTTTTTTGTGATAAGAACATTTAAGTTCTGGTCTTTTAGTAGCTTTGAAGTTTCAAGTAGCTATCTAATACAGTGTACGTAGCAATGATTGCCATACGTGCATCAGGTCCTCAGAACTTACTCATCTTCTAACTCCAAGTTTCTATCATTTGACCAGCATCTCCCCTGGTCATCCCACTCCCAGCCCCTGGTAACCACCATTCTACTCTCTGTTTCTATGAGTTCAGCGTTTTTAGATTCCACATATAACTGATCCAAATATCTCTCAAAACCTGTCCCTGGTCGGTGAATCAGTCCTCACAGGCATGTCCTTGCTGCCTCCTCCCAAAGAGCATGAACTTGACTGTGTCCTTTGAGGCCGCTCCCCTTCATGGGGAACGACTGGCTTCTGCAAACGGCCACCAGGGTGGTCTCGCTGCAGTCCACCTCCAGCACAGGAGGTCCATGTCTTTCTAGATCAGTGACCATCTGGGCAGCCGGGGGAAGCACCAGCGTCCCTCCTGTAGCCAGGTGCTCGTCTTCTGGACCCTACTCGCTGCCTCGGTGGTGGTCTGCTCTTTCATCTCAGCGTCTCCCCAGGAGCAAAGGGAGTGGGAGCACTCTCCTGCCCATGTCACTTCTGGAAGAGGCCTCCCACAGCCAGGAGGCGACCATTGTGCCAGCTCTTGCGGATCAGCCCCTTCAATGCACATTAGCAGAAGATTACTTCTCAAGAGGCCTGACCAAGGACTGTTGGGGCCATGTCGGGAATGACTCGAATGCCAGCTACCTGCTCTGCCCAGGGACAGCCTCCACCCTGACCTCAGGGCGGGGACACCATCCTCCTGCCATCCAAAACGTCATTCCTAATTTCTTTCACTGCTGTGTGTGTGGGTGGTGGGAGGTGGACAACTCTTCTGGAGGGTGGAGACCACGGTGCATCCTACTCAATACTATGCACATCACTGGGGGCTGGCTACCTGCAGTTCCTACCACAAGGACCCCTTCCTTTGAGCCTCCCAGAGAAGGTCCTGGGCCTGTCACCTCCTGCTTCAGCCCAAGACCAGCCTTATTTCCTGCCCAGGATGGCCCACTTTCCAGAATGACTGACAGTGGAAACGTCCATTTCCTTCAGGGCTTTGGCACCATAACCTCAACAGAGAGTGATGTTGGTGTATTTGGGGAGATATGTTAAAAGGGTAGATATGCACAGAGAAATGTCTGGAGAGCTGTTTCCCTAAATTATAACAGCAGTGTCTCTGGCTTTTAGTGAGTTTACCACCTTCATTTTACTTTATAATCATATTTGGATTTTTTTTTTCCACAGTAACTGTGCATCATGTTTTCAGGAAAAGATTTTAGGCTTTGGTGTCAGATCGCAAATCAGATCTGTTTGGCAAATCAGATCATCATCTTCTCACCTATAAAATGAGAAAAGTAGTATTTCAGGGGGCTTCCCTGGTGGCTCAGATGGTAAAGAATCTGCCTCCAATGGGGAAGACCTGGGTTCAGTCCCTGGGTTGGGAAGATCCCCTGGAGAAAGGAATGGCTACTTACTCCAGTATTTCAGAAGATTGTTGAGAAAAACTCAATACTATTAATATTTCTATTTTTCCAATATTTTCATTACTTATAACTGACACGGATAATTTTATGTAAATACACAGACATGATTATATTAAATATAAAGGGGGATTTTCTAAAAGTGGAGTCCTTTATTTCCTTTTCCTTTGTTTTAACTTCCCCTTCCCACTTGGCTCAGCACTTCTCAAATCAGAGCTCCTCTTCAAACCCAGGTAATTGGTCCATCACACACAACTATGTTGACAACCTGGAAGATACCCTCTGTATTTTTCTTCATGATTATACAATAATAAAAGCATATTGATATGTACACTGGGCTTCCCTGGCGGCTCAGACAGTAAAGAATCCACCTGTAATGCAGGAGACCTGGGTTCAGTCGTCGGGTTGGAAAGATCACCTGGAGAAGGGAATGGCTACCCACTCTAGTATTCTTGCCTGGAGAATTCCATGGACAGAGGAACCTGTCGGGCTACAGTACATGGGGTCGCAAAGAGTTGGACACGACTTAGCAACTTTCCCTTTCACTTTTCAAGTACACTTGAGGGAATATAAGTCCTTGTGTGAAAGATTTGTAGAAAGAGATCATTGTTTAGTTTCTTAGTCGTGTCTGACTCTTTGCAACTCCATGGACTATAGGACGTCAGGCTCCTCTGTCCATGGGATTTCCCAGGCAAGAATACTACTTGCCATTTCCTACTCCAGGGAATCATATTATACACAATTTTATGCATCATTTTCTTACGCAACAATATGTTCTGGAAATCCTCTCTAGGCATCTGGTGAAGGTCTCATTTTAATAGCTGCATAATTTTTTCATGATTTGGAAATAACATTTTATTCATCTGCTCCCATGTTTATTGATATTCACTTTGTTTCAGCTGCAGCACACACACACACACACACACACACACGTTGCAAAATCGATTTTGTTTCTTTGCAGTAGATTTTCAGAAATAGAATTTCTGGGTGAAACAGCTATAGCAGAGCCAATCAACAGTATTTCTAATGTATGCTGTGTCTGTTACATAGTTACTGCTCAATAAAATGATACCTGCTACTATTCTCATTATTAGCTGAGAAGTTGTATTTTGGAAAAGTTGAGTCATTTATTAGATCCCCATTTAGATAAATTATATTCCCTTTAAAGACATAGGTTATCTGCAATAACCAAACTAACAACTGTCCTCTCTCTGTTTATACAAAGTCAAAAGGAAATGGGACTTCACTGGAAAACTAAAATAGACATGAAAGTTGACCTCCTTGTTTCCTCTCTGGCATTTCAAATCCATTTCCTCAGTGAGGCAGGAACTCAGAAACCCAGGGAGCTCTCATAATTGGAGATTCTTGTTTTGTATTTTTAAAAATTGCTATCAGCTTATTTGTATATCTGATTTGAAAGACAAAAGAGGGCTCACTAAAATGTGCTCCCTGTTGTGAAAAAGGAACCAATTTGTAGCCTTGGAGTGAGATTAATGAATAAGTTCCTGTGTCTGCAGCCCAGGCCCTGCCCTCTCCCGGCAGAAGCTCCCAGGGAAAAATCGGATAATTTCTAGTTGGAAGTTTCTTACTATGTTCAGCTACTCTCCATGAAAAATTGAGGCAGCACCTTGTGAAGAGAGGGCAGTTGTGCAAAATTCAGACTTGGTGGATTCTGGACATGAGCGCTCCTAAGCCATTTGGCCGAAAATGTCAACACATGACAAATTTCAAACTCCAGACTGAAATGGAATCTTGCAAGTTGGCCGAGGGCCAGGGGCTGGGCCCTGGACACAGACGGTGAGAGAGAGATTCTGGGAGAGAAAAGGCACTCATACAGTTTTCATGGAACAGGAAATAGGTACCTCTGTGTGTCCATGGCTTTGTTCCTTTTTTGTCTGGACACCAGTGAGCCAAGGGAAACTGGGCGGCTAGTGCGGGCATCCTCAGATTGCCAGCCATCAAAGTGGGCTGAGCCTCCCAGGTCCCAAGTCCACACCCATAAAAATGAGCTTCAGGCTCACAAGTCTCTCTTAGTCATCATTTCTGCTCTTCTTATCCTATCTTGTCTAACATTTCAGTGAGGGACTGACTTCTGACTTGCGGAGTTTTGAAAACATTTTTGGTTTCATGAAAGGAAACCCTTGGACAGAATTCTGCTCTCTCCTTCAACTCTCATCAAATCTTAATTTAGCTTTTGTTTATACGTATATATTTTCCCACCATGATTCAATTCTAGTCCTAAAGTTCTATGCATCTCCCCCCACTTCCCGCCGCTCCCCAACAGGCCCATGCTGTCTCCTTGGAAGGGGGCCTGGGAGTTAGAAGGACTGGGTCACAGAACCCGATTCAGAACTGGAAGAAGGAAAAACTGATTCACATTTACACGCCTTCCTAGCCTGTTCTGCATCCATTATGCCTTGGTCTCAAAAAGGCCCTAACTGAACTGGACTGAAAATTGCTCAGTCGTGTCCGACTCTTTGCGACCCCATGGACTGCAGCCCGCCAGGCTCCTCTGTCCATGGCAAGAATCCTGGAGTGGGTTGCCACTCCCTTCTCCAAAAGCCTCTAAGGCCTTGCCCATTTAGGGAGCACTTAGTCCCTGCAAAGCCAGTCTGGAAATCAGTGTTCTTTGGGGACCAGGATAACAAGTCTGAATCCCTGTTTGTAAGAAGCTCACTCTCTGGATTTAGAGACCCACATGCTCAGAGGAAAAATGATTCAGTTCAGAGTTTGTGAGTTTCCAGCCAGTTGCAGGGGGAGGAGTTAGGGACATGGGAGTTCAGAGGATAGGATGTACCTGGGGGCAAGGGGGGGCGGTGGCGGTGGCTGGGTGGAGAGGACCAGGACTAAGGCCTCCCTTGGCAAATGGAGAAAGGAAGGAAGGCAGCAGGTACTAAGCCTCCTAGGGTGCCAGAGTTCGTGTCAGAGCTTTAGTGGTTGTCTCTGGTAATTCCCAGGACTGGAGTTGGAAGAGAAGAGGAAAGACAGCATTTCCAGCCAGGAAATGGTGCAGTTAACCTGAGTGCACATTCAAGACATTAATGACAGCCTGGTATGAGCTTTGGCCGAATCTGTTCAAGTTGTACATTTGTCTAGACAAACTGAGCTTCTTTGCCAGCGCTGAAACAGCCACGATCTACGTGCCCTACATAGGTAAGGAGCAAGTTTAATTGGCTTAACTCCACAGTCACGATGAATTCTTTGAGCACCCACAAGGCTTTGTGGACCGTGTAAATTATGAGATGTTGATATGTAAATTCAGAGGGTATATTGTTTTTGTTGTTGTTTAGTCACTCAACTGTGTCCAATTCTTTGCAACCCCAGGGAGCCTTTAAGGCTCCTCTGTCCATGGGATTTCCCAGGCAAGAACACTGGAGTGGGTTACTATTTCTTTCTCCAGGGGATCTTCCTGACCCAGGGATTGAACCTGCTTCTCCTGCATCAGCAGGCAGATTCTTTACCCCTGTGCCACCAGGGAAGCCCATTTGAGATGGGCAGAGACAGTTGTGGATCCGGGGTTTGGCTGGAAGACCTTGGCCTTACTTTGCAGCCAGATGCTCAATGGTTTCAATATGAGAAAGATTAAGGGAACTTTTACGGCCTTACTGAAGAGTCCCACCCAAAATATCTTTTCTCATCTCATATCTAGAAAGAGGAGTGGTGAAGAATGACAAAGGAAAGAACTTTAAAAATCAAACAATGTGTAAGTTGTTAATATCTGTGTTTATTCTGGTAGTTTGTTCAACAAGTGTTTTCATGAATGCCCCTAAAGCTCTATGACAGTCACGGTGCCCAAAGTAAAGTTCTGGTTCCTGTATTTACAGTCTAACTGGAAAGGTAGATGTTAAAAAAAGCAACACACAAAGAAGCATGTGATTTCAAAGTCATTATGTACGTAATGACATTTAAGATCCAGGTGCTGTGGGAGAGAAAAACACGGAAGGTGTCTCAGAGGAGCTGACATTTGTGAAGAAACCTAGGCTATGAGAGGATCCAGATGGGTAGAAGGTGCAGCTAGAGGCACTTGGACCAGCCATGTAGCTCAGCTGAACTCATGATATGGAGATAACAATGATGCGTCATCCCAGGTTGTCATGGAGACCATTTAATGCCTGTAGGTCACCTGGCCTGGTGCCAGGTGTATATCAGTGACACTGAACAAATGTTGACTGAATCTGAGCCAAAAGTCCCTCCTAGACCTCGCATTCCAGGGTTCCGAGTTTCTCTCTGACTTTGACCCCAGGGAGCCCCGCCCTTGATGTCAGGGCTTGATGTGGCTTCTGGTTACCTGCACCAGTAGGGAAGAGCCAGGAGCATGACCCTTTAGGGACCCACAACTGTGACTTCCCTGTGATGCTCGTCGGTGCCTTGAGTCGGCTTCCTCAGACAGCAGGGAGGACATGCCCTGCTTCTCCCCGGAAAGAACGCTGCCCGCTCTTTCCCACCCACTGGTGACAGTGACCACGGTCCTGAACTGGAGACAGTGGATATTTGGAAATCCTTCGATAGAGTCCACCTTCTCTTTACAATTACAAAGTGTGCATATGCATTGTCGTGTATCAGCTAGACATCATGTGTGACTTGAGCCAGGCAGGCAGATACCAAACCATGCTAAAGTGAAAGTGAAGTTGCTCAGTCGTGTCCGACTCTTTGCGACCCCATGGACTGTAGCTTACCATGCTCCTTTGTCCATGGGATTTTCCAGGCAAACTGGAGTGGGTTGCCATTTCCTTCTCCAGGAGATCTTCCCGACCCAGGGATTGAACCTGGGTCTCCTTCATTATAGGCATACACTTTATCTTCTGAGCCACCAGGGAAGTCAAACCATGCTATGTCACAGACAAAACAGACTCTGAGAGGGAAAGTGACATGCTGAGGGTCATGCAGATACTAGTGGCCCGGGCCTGGGTCTTCTACCACCGGTCCGGTTCTCCCTCCACTGTGGCCCCCTGTGTTTCTGCCCAGAGCAGGCTCCAGGAGAGGACAGGGTGGACAGGTGTGCCCTTGTACTCTGCCCCTTGTTCATTTTCAAGTGCAAACATCTGTTGCATGTTGTCTGCTGCCAGGACCTGCGCTCAGTCCCACGGGGGCATCAGCCTCTTTGACGGTGGTGTTTGAAGGCTCATGATTGCAGGGGGATGTCCCAGAGGAAGGAGGGGATCTCCCCCCACTGCTGGAGGCTGTCCCTGCTTCCCCAGTTGTTCCTGGTCTGAAGGCAGTGCCAGCCATGCGGTAATGCAGTTAACCTTTGAAACTGAATCTGATCCCTGGCCGTCCTATGGTGTTTGGGCCTCCATCTGCCAAGGGGACAAGCCTACTGCGGGCTCACCTTCCTCCTTCATGAGTCTGAACTTCCAGAACCAAGGGCAGAGTCCTCAGACCAGTTGTAGGTGAAGCTTTTCCTCCAGGTTTCCCTGCTCTCATCTGTGAGGTTATTTCTTACTCACCTCCTCCATTCCTGGCTGGGTGCAGAGGGTCTGTCACCCCAGGAAGGCTGCTCCCTAAAATGCCCAGCATCCCACCCAGGAGACTGTCTCAGAGAACCCACAGCTCAATCTGGCAGATGGGCCCCAGCGCCAGCCCCTGTAACATCGAACTTTTGTAAACTTCTAGGCCCATGTTCAAGTCTTGGGTCTTGCAGCCTTTTGCATGCTGTTCTCCATGTTTGGAATGTCCTTTCTCCTCTGGCCAGTCCTCCTCCAGCTTGACCTTCGACCCCACCTGGGCTGTCCCCTCCTTGACCTAACCTGCATGTGTAGCTTGCCCTGATTGCTAGAACCCTAGAGACTTCAGTAATGAATTCATGTGTTTAAAAGCCCTTTGAACTGTGCCTCATTCTCCATTGCATTCGCAGTGCCTAGCCCAGTGCTGGGCACATAGCAGGTCCTCACAGTACCTAATGAATGAAGAAGACTCATCTAACCTTCTACACCCTCAGCCACATTTGCACCCAGAACTCTGCAGCCCCCCTGGCCTTGCACAGAGGGGAATCTGCCCACTGAATCAGATTCAGAGCCTCTATGACTTTCACCTTTGACCCCCTCCCTGGAATTCTACTGTCCACAGTCTGTCCTCTCTTTGACACATTTGATGCTTCAGCTCAGAAAGCTGTACAGTTCTGGATTTCTATTGCTGGCTTCCTGTCTCTCACCCTGCCGGTCAATGCCATGATGTGTAAAAGGGTGTCTGGAAGTATTCGTACATTCCACGGGAGTGTGTGTCCAGGTGGGAGTTGGGGGTAGCAGGAGTCCCAGCCACTGGGAGGTTAACCCATGAGGGTTTGGTGATGGCCACCCATACTCCTTCCTGCTGCTTGGGGATTTCAAAGATGAATTTGTCCTTGCTCTCTAAGAGCTTAACTTGAGGGTCTGGGGATAGAAGAGAGAACTAGCACAAAGGGTAATTCAAGAATGACCACAGGGACTTCCCTGGTGGTCCAGTGGCTGAGACTCCAAGCTTCCAATGCAGGGAACTAAGATCCCACATGTTCACATGCTGCAACTAAAGATGCTCCATACTGCTATGAGTACCACAACTAAGACCCAGTTCATCTGAATAATAAATAGAAGCAAATATTTTTCTTTTCTATAATGACCTTGCAATTTGTGAACTAGGACATTGTATCAGCTACAACATTGAAATAAGTCATCAGCTACCTTATATATCAGAGAGTAGAAGCTTCTGGGACCCGGCTGTGAAACCAGACCTGGCCAAGGAATGACCTCAACTAATTCCTTACAAAGATGCCGCTTTGGGGAGGGGGAGGCCTCATCTGAAGAGTGCCTATGTGCTTCCCTCCCAGTCCAGACCCTCTCGAGTTTTCTTCCTCTCTAGGACCCGCACACAGCAGAGCCCAAAGGGACAGGGCCCCCAGCGACGCTGAGAACACCTGTGTCTAATTCAGTCGGTGACTCAGAAATCCCATTCCTGAAATAGGCAACCCCGGCACACACAATTGTGTGTCTGCCTCTGAGACCTCTTAACAACAAACCCAAACTTCCGACCCTGTTTTCTGTGATTGGAAGGAAGCAAAGCAGTGGCCCTGGGAGCAGCTGTTCCCAGCCTGAACCTCACACTTAAATGATGTGAGTGGGTACAAATCAACATGCCAATTATTAGGTAAGAAACAAGCTGAAGAAATACAGCTCATTAGGATCTAGAGTGTCTGAGGGCTGTGTGTGTGTGTTTAGTTTGTCTATATTCTGGAAAATTTTTATTTACCGAGGTTTCGCCTTTACTTTCTCAAACCAAAAGAGATCATGACATCGAGCTTCCAGTCAGCCAGGAGGACTTGACAACCACCCAGCCAAGGGTGGACCTGCCTGGAGGGATCTCCTTTTTACAATTGGGTTTCACCAGGGCAGGCCTCAGTAGCTGTGGAACCAAAAAAAATTCTTCTTTCCTGTTGAGTAGTAAGTCTAGAGTTAGAGGCAGACTTTATCCTTTTATACTTTCTTTCATGTAAAACTAAAGACAAGCCTTCACCTGGAACTATCACAACATTGTTAATCTGCTTACCCCAATACAAAATGTTTTTGGTGTTAAAAAAATAATTAAATAAAATTTAAAAAATAAAGACAAACTTCATTCAGTTTATTCTGTATCTCGAGTCACTAGTTTTTACACCAGTGAGACTCAGTTTTGCAGGACTTTATTCTTGATATACTTGGATGAGGACTCTGTGAATGATTTTGTTTAAAAATAATCCCAGCCACTCCCCCCGCCCCCGCTACGATCTCAGGACAACACATAATGGCAAAACTCCAGTGTCTCACGGGAGAGGAATTGTGACCTGGGGGGAGGCAGACAGGCCTGGAGCCCCCTGGCCTTGCTCTTGGGGTCCCCCTGGGAGCCCGGGGGAGCCAGCTCCTCCTGCAGCTCCAGCCTCTCCCGTGAAGTGCTTCCTGCCGCAGACACAGCACAGCGCTCACAGAGGTCTCTCTGTGGCATTTCTGGAATGTCCTTCTTCCCCAGTTCTGCTGGGCTTTTTTTCTTCGCATGAAGGCAGGGGAATAAAGAGGCCTATTTATGCTGGGCTGGGCTTCCACAGAGCGCATCTCCACGCGGGACTGCTTGACGGTTGGTGTTTCAGAGACAACCTGGGCACGGCCTGGAGCCTCTCCAAGGGAGTGGACTTGGTGGGATTGGCACCACCCGCCTTTAACTCTGGCGGGGCTGGGTGCTGCCTCCCAGCCAGGAGCGTGTGAGGGGCTCATGGGGGCTGCTCTGAGAAGGACTCCTCGCCCCCATGCTCAGGGCCACTGAGATGCCCACAGCTGGTTCTGGGAGCCAGCACCAGGCTGGCTATGGCGACTTCCCTAATGGGATTTCACCAGCCTCCACCAGCCCCTTAGACTTGACCGAGTCCTGCCGTGTGCGACTCACGTTCTCACAAAAATTCAGAGAGGTGGGTGTTACATTCCATATTTTGAAACCGAGCACTAGGTGCAACGTTATCCTTTCTGTATAACGTCACAGGCTGTGTGGACAGCCTTTGGGGGTGCCTGCCTCGCCAACAAAGCCCCTTTACTCTGAGAACTCACCCTGCCCCGCAGCAGGTTCACGGAATAACCGCGCCTCACACAAGCTTCAGTTAACTGGACTAGAGACGGACCAATGACCCAAGCTGGGCCAGAAGAATATTCTAAATTTTGGACATTGACTCAGAAGTGCTGCCCAGCCTCTGCTGGGCCTTCAAAAGGGAGCCCCGACAACATCAGGCCTGAAGCAACTGTGAGGGCCGAATGCAAGAATGATAAGATGCTTGTCACAGAGGACATGATGGAACTGTCCCCCGGTCACCTCCCGCACCTGAAGGACAGTTCCAACAGCTTCCTTGTTTCAGATTCCAGTCGCTTTTGAGACCCTTTTGTTCTCTGAAATATCCCTCTATCTTCTTGTAACAGAATGTTCTATTAAGGCTTAAATTTATGTAACATAATGACCTATTAGAACTTTGAAAGAATTTTTTTTTTAATGGAAAATCCTCCCAGCTGCTATCTGGAGAGACAAAGATGAGAGGTCAGGGCAGGGCAGGTCCTGAAGGGCCTTGCTTTGATGGTGAACCACAGGGGAACTCTGACTTGGCAAAGCCAGCCCCACCAGCTAGTCTGCAGGGTACCTACAGGGGCGAGACTATTCTAAGAGTGACCCAGGAAACTTAGGGGAGGAGCAGGGCCCTTCCTACCTGGTATTTGATGAAAAGGAGGGCTACTGGGTAGACTAGCATGTTCCAATCGAAACCAATGTCGGAGCAGAACAGCAAGGGTTCCTCTGACCTGCGAGGTTGACTTCTGCCCCAGTGGATGCTCAGCAATATTTACTCAGTAATATTAATATGCATGATTATTGCCCATGCTTTGGGACTTTCCTGATAGCTCAGCAGGCAATGAATCTGCCTGCAGTGCAGGAGACATAGGTTCAATCCCTGGGTCCGGCAGATCCCTTGGAGAAGGAAATGGCCACCCACTCCAGTATTCTTGCCTGGAAAATTCTATGGACAGAGGAGCCTGGAGGCCTACAGTCCATAGGGTTGCAAAGAGTCAGACACAACTGAGTGAATTTTTTCACTTTTTAAATTATTAAGAAAGGAACAGTTGAGATAAGAAAGCTTCATAAGGTAGTAACCTGGGTCTGTTGAAAGCCAAACTCACTTTCCGGTTATGAAGATCTGGGCTACCCACTTCCCTGGAGAACGGTATGTCCCCCTCTTCTGCTGCTGGGCCACAGACGCGGGTGACCCCCTAACCGCGTCCCATGTATGAAGCCACCCCTAAAGGCCTTATGCAGGCTTGGGCTTCAGCTCAGGGGTGGGGCATCTGATGTGTCACGTGTGGACATGCTCCCCAGCCCCCAACACTTCTACTCTTAGTTTGCCTGTTAAGCAGACCCAATCCATCAAAGATTAGCACTCTGCCGGAGTTTCTGGGTCGAGTGATAAAGCACAAGTATTTCCCTCTCTGAGACTCTCTGAACTCTCTGTAATATTTCTACGGCTGTCGCTCGCCTATTCACAAAAGTAAACCCAGGCTTAACTAAGCTTCTCCTCCTCCCTTCGCTTTTCCAAGCCTTGGGGGTGTCCAAAATAACTGTGTTTATTACAGCAGCATGCAGTGACGTTGTCTGCTGTGATAGAAAGTCCCTTCCTCCAAGTGGTCAGCGCTCTGAGGAGGGAGAAGGCGGGTGGGGCTTGTGGTTCCCAGGCGTGGGTGTTGTACGGTCCCAGGCTAGCTCCTCCCCTGCAAAAGGGGGAAGGAGAAGAGCTTTTAGCATCAGTCGGATTGAGTCTGTATCTTAGTACGTCTGGGCTGCAATAACAAAAATATCATAGACTGAGAGATTTAAACAACAAACATTAATTTGTTATGGTTCTGGAAGCTGAGGAGTCTGAGATCAAGGCACTGGCATATTTGCTTCCTGGTTTTTAGAAGAAGACCATCTTTTCTTTTTCTTTCTTTAATGGACATGAGTTTGAGCAAGCTCTGGGACGTGGTGAGGGACAGGGAGCCCTGGCATGCTGCGGTCCATGGGGTCGCAAAGAGTCAGAAGCGACTGAGCGACAGAACATCAACGATTTATTTTTCAGTTGCGTCTTCGTTGCCGTAAGGGCTTTTCTCTCGCTGTGGCACTTGGGGGCTACCCTTCACTGTGGTGAGCGAGCTGCTCACTGTGCTGCCTGGCTTCTCTCATTGCAGAGCAAGGGCTCCAGGCACTCGGGCTTTGGCAGCTGCAGCACATGGGCCCCGTCATTGTGGCACGCAGACTAAGTTGCTTTGTGGCACGTGGGATCTTCCCGGACCAGGGATGGAACCTATGTCCCCTGCATTGGCGGGCAGATTCTTATTCACTGCACCACTCAGAAAGTCCAGAAAGCTAACATCTTGCTGTGTCCTGACATTGCAGAAGGGTGAGAGAGCTGTCTGGGGTCTCTTAATAAGGCTCTAATCCCATTCCTGGGAATTCCACCCTCATGACTTCATCACCTCCCAAAGGCCACACCTCCAAGTACCATCACACTGGGAGCTGTGTTTTTAACATATGCATTTTTCAGGGGGTGAGGGGTCAGGGGCCGGGAGGTGACACAAACTTCAGTCTATAGCCCCCTCCCCCTAATTAAAGTGAAGTTGCTCATTCCTGTCCAACTCTTTGCGACCCCATGGACTGTAGCTTACCAGGTTCCTCTGTCCATGGGATTTTCCAGGCAAGGATACTGGAGTGGCTTGCCATTTCCTTCTCCACTCCCCCAGTTAAGCCACTCATTAACAGCATAACCCTGGACAAGTTATTTTATCTCTCTGAGTCCCAGATTTCTAACTTTATTTGGTTGAAATGGAGAACAAATGAGATACTATACAAAAGGTGCTTGGCTCAGATCGGACTTTTATAAATGGTAATCCATTTTTATTAGGCTCCTTACCCAGGCAGGGAAGGATGTGGGTCTTGCCTGCTCTTGTTGCTGGGTCTCTCTCACCCACAGGTGCCTGTTGTACTGTCTCTCCTCGCTGAGCCTGGGCAGAAAGTCCAGAGAGGTAGGTCACCCATCCCACATCCTGCCCTGTGCCTCCTTCCAGGGCTGGGCTCATCAAGTCACTCACCCTTTTGTCCCATAAACATGCAATGGGTGTGTACTGTGCCCGAGAGACTGACCTGGCCCACAGGGAATATGTGGGCCTGCCCTCGAGTACACGGATCTTCCCAGGACACGTGTGACCCTGACACAGTTGTGCACAAGGTGAGCACAAAATTCTGTGTGCTGGAGGGAGAGAGGCCCAACATCCAGCTGGAGCTTCTGGAAAGGTTCTGTAGGAGGAAAGCTCCCCAGAGGCTGTGGGGTTACCTCACTCTCCACCGGGTTGCAAACATTTATAGCTTTTTTAATAGTGCCAAGGGATTTCGTGAAGCTGGGCCTGGGAGGCGGAGGGAAGAAGGATATTCTGGGCAGGAGGAACTCCATCTTGAAGGCCGAGAGGGGTCCCAAGGCTACGAGCATCACGGGAGTGGACAGTAACCCAGTGCAAGAAGAGTAACAATGGAGGGTTTAGTGGGAAGACCTCGCGGTGAAATGGGAAAGAGGCCTTCACACCGGGCCTTGAGGTCTTGGCTCCTCTCCAGACACGTGTGGGCAGTCCAGCTGGTCAGGGGCTGTTAGAACAAGGGCTCACAGACTTGTGAATTTTACACATCACAAAAAATTATTTTAAAAAAATGGAGGAGGAGGGAGCCGATGTGGGGTTAACAACATTTCATTTTGCCCTGAAAGAGCAAGGAAACAATTTCCAGGGCCACCATTTCATAAAATAAAAGGCATTTTTAAATTTTTGATTTTTAAATTTTTTTTGGCTTTCTGGGTCTTTGTTGCTGCACAGGCTTTTCTCTTGTTGCAGCAAGCAGAGGCTTCTCATTGCAGTCGCTTCTTTTGTTGCAGAGCAAGGACTCTAGGTGTGTGAGCTTCAGCAGTTGCAGCATAAAGCCTCAGCAGTTGTGGTTCCCGGCCTCTAGAGCACAGGCTCAGTAGTTACGGCACACGGGCTTAGCTGCTCCGCAGCATGCGGGATCTTCCCAGACCAGGCATTGAACCTGTAGCTCCTGCATTGGCAGATAGATTCTCTACCACTGAGCCACCAGGGAAGCCCAATAAAAGATACTTTAAAAACAAACAAACAAAAAGAAATGAATGAGTTTAGCTTCTTGAAGAACTCGCTACATCATCCTTATTGTTCTTATTGAGCTTTAGATTGAAAAAAATTATTATGACCTGACCCTCGCTCGTAAGACTAGTAGTTGGGAAGCAGGGATTAGAAAATAAATTGCCAAATTGTCAGGGGAGGCACGAAATTTAAATTCCTTCAAAGCTCAGCCACATCTTGGGTGGGGAAGACCACCTTTGTGCTCATATGGTTCAGTTCTGACAAGTGCAAGCAAGCTCTGTAGTTCCGATCATATTCAAAGGAGCTCCCCAGGATTAATGATGCAAAGTGCCACACTTAGGAGTAAACTCTACCAGGGGAGCAGGGGGACTGGTCACCTGAGAGAAGCCCAGTGACATTGTGGGGACCTTGACATCCCCATTTGTATGCATGATACCACATGCTCTCTAAGCAGTCTCCTGGCTCTGACACCAACAATCCTAAAATCAGCAGTCCTAAACACTGATGGGGGCTTCTCTGGTGGCTCAGCGGGAAAGAATCTGCCTGCCAATGCAGGTGACATGGGTTCGATCCCTGGGTCAAGAAGATTCCTTGAAGTAGGAAATGGCAGCCTACTTCAGTATCCTTGCTGGGATATCCCACGGGCAGAGGAATCTGGCGGGCTACAGTCCATGGCGTCACAAGGCGTCGGACAAGACTTTGCAACTAAACAACAACAAAAAAGCTGATGACTCTAAGGAGGGCTGGAGTTTGGGCCAAATTTCCCGGCAGCTGAAATGAAGGGAGGATGTTATGAGTTACACAGTTTTCTTTTTCTGACAAAAGAACGCATACAAATTGATTTGCAAGAGCCCAGTGTTTTCCCGGAATGACACTCCTGCTAAAACTTCCTCTGAGTGTCCCAGTGAAAGAGACACTGGGCTTTGGAATGGACCACGGCTTCCACCATGGTCACACAGGACTCATGGATGCTGTTCAAACAGATGATGCTCATAGGCCATTTCCAAGAAGGCAGAGGTCACCGGGAGCATCATAATTCAAGGAAGGTACCTCTGCCTTTGATGTACCTGTGGTCTTAGAAGTATGGAAAGAACCAGATGAAAACGTTGCCTTGTCTTTTCATCCCAGAACCATAGTAGAGCCCTCAGCGTGGCTCTACTACAAGGACCCATCAAGGTTCTGGCTGTACGCCATTTCTTGACCCGAGTGATGGATATTGCCTAAGCCATTCATTTATCTTGTACCCTTTTATGTGTGTGTAACACAGTGAAAATTTAAAAAGAAAACCTTGATGGATTTCTTTTTAAATGTACAGTTAAACTCACAGTTAATTTGAGATGGTTTAGTTTGCATTTGATTCATTTTTTAGCTTAGTGTTTTAAAAGTAAATGTTTTTCTACTCATCATAGCAAACATATTTTCAGGAAAGTCTCTTTTGTATATAAGGAGGCCCCAGACCATACTCAGCAGGGTCTGTTATGCACAAGACAGCTATTGGTCTGTCACTGTATCATTTAAACTTTTAAAATGTGTTTATTTACACAAAATAACTCATGAAAAAAATGACTGATGTTCCTTCAGAACCCACTGGTTCCTTCAGAACCCACACGATTCTTGTGTGAATGAACAGAGAAGCAGTTGATCATTAGTCTTTGAAAAGAGTGTGGTGCTTTGTGGTATGCAAAGCCCATGTTGGCTATTCATGATTAAAAAGCATTGAAATGCCTGCAATAAAATAGTGTGATTATATATTTGGTTGAAAAACGTTACTAACTCAGTCATATTCGATTCTTTGTGACCCCATGGACTGTAGCCCACCAGGGTCCTCTGTCCAGGAATTCTCCAGGCAAGAATACTGGAGTGGGTAGACACTTTGGTAACCCTTCCTAAAATTATTTGACCAGGTAACCCTTATGTGATATAGAAGATATATTTAAAACCTCATGGAATTAGTATCCTGTGGAACACACTTTGAAAAGCACTGTGTTAATTCATTCTTCTAATTTTACAGGTAGAGAAACTGAGGTCAGAGAGAAGAGGTTCCCCTGGGGTCACACACTGAGTCCAAATTAGAGCCTCTGTGCTAGGCTGCTCGGAAATGAGGGAGTACTCAGCCATTTGTCACACTCGCTATTCTTGTGGATTTAAACTAAAATAATATAACACTAAATTAAATACATTAAATTAGAATACTATAACAATATCCAGTCACCCACCATGCAGCTTAAAGAATAAAATATTGCAATCACCTCACACCAATCAGAATGGCCATCTTTAAAAAGTCTACAAATAATAAGTGCTGGAGATAGGAGAAGAAGGAATCCTCTGACACTGTTGATGGGAATGTAAACTGGTGTAGCCACTATGGTGAGAACAGTATGGAGGTTCCTCAACAAAGTAAAACTTGAACTACCAAATAATCCTGCAATTCCACTTCTGGGCATTTATCCAGAGAAAACTCTAATTCTAAAAGATACATGCACCCCAATGTTCATAGCAGCACTATTTATAATACTCAGGACATGGGAACCACGTAGATGCCCATCAACAGATGAGTGGATAAAGATGCAGTGGATAAAGATGTACATATATATATATATATAAACACAATGGAGTATTACTCAGCCATAAAAAACAATGGAATAATGCCATTTGCAGCAACAAAAATGGACCTAGGGATTATCATACCAAGTGAAGTAAATCAGACAAAGAAAGACAAACATCATATGACATAACTTGAGTGTAGAATCTTAAAAATGATACAAATGAACTTATTTACAAAACAGAAATAGGATCATGGACATAGAAAACAAATTTATGGTTACCGAAGGGAATTGGGGGGAGGGAATAAACTAGAAGTTTGGGATTAACAGATACACACTACTATATGTAAAATAGACAAACAGCAAGGACCTGTTGTATACCACAGGGAACTATAGTCAATATATTGTAATAACTCATAATGGAAAAGAATATGAAAGATAAACATGTTAATACATTAACACATTAATATTATACATAAAATATGAACCTGAAGCTAACACAGCACTGTAAATGAATTATACTTCAATTTGTAAAATGGTTAGAGATAGTCCAAGCTTTCTGAGTACCCCTCCCTCTCACATCCTGCTTCCTTCCTCACGGGGGTAACCACCATCTTGAGTTTTGTGTTTATCACTACTCGTCATGTTTTAATACTTATACCACTGTATTAGTTTGCTGGGGCTGCCGTAACAAAGCACTGCAGACTGGGCAGCTTAGACCACAGACGCTTTTTCTCTCACAGTTCTGGAGGCTGAGTCCAAGGTCAAGATGCTGACAGGGTTAGCTTCTTCCGAGGCCCCTCTTCTTGGTTTGTGGATGGCTGTCTCCTCCCTGTGTCTTCTTTTTTTCTGCTTATGCACATTCCTGATGTCCCTTTATTGGTCCAGATTTTCCCTTCTTATAAGGACACCAGTCACATTGGACTAGGGCCACTCTCATGATCTCATTTTAAATTAATTACTTCTTTACAGACTATCTCCAAATACAGGCACATTCTGAGGTGCTGGGTGAAGACGTTAACACATGAACTTTGAGGGGCACAAATCAGCTCATTACACCCACCCACGTACTCATTGTCCTGGGGATAGATTTTTGGGGCACTATAAACAATGCTGCAATGAATACATTCATATAAAACTCTGTGTCACATTTACTAACTAGATTTGTGTGCATGCCTAGGAGTGAAATTGCTTAGTTACTCAGGTTATTTATTGACTAGACAGTGCTTTTCTTGTTGATTCACGATGTCATGAGTTCTGTTGCCAAATATATGAGAGTCTATGTCTTGAGTTCATCAGCTTGTGGGTCTACTGGTCTCTCTAGATAAGCTCATAAAGGAGAGGATCTCTACTATGAGTTGAATTGTGTGCCCCCCCCCCCAATTCATGTACTGAAGTCTTAACACCCTAGCATCTCAGAATGTGAATTTGGAAATAGGGTCATTGCAGATGTAATTAACTAGGATGAGGTCATACTGGTGCTGAGTGGCCCTTAACCCAAAGTGCCCAGTGTCCTTATGAAAGGGGGAAGTTGGGGCTTAGACTCACAAGGTGGCTACTAGATGGAGGTGAAGATTGCTGCCTGTAAACTGAAGACGGAGCTCATATAGCTGTGATAGATGCTCCCTCGCAGCTCTGAAAAGGAACCAGCCGGCTAATACAATGATTTTAGACTTCTAGCCTCCAGATCTGTGAGACAATACATTTCTGTTGTCTAAGTCCATCAGTGTGTGTTACTTTGTCATAACAGCTGTAAGACACTAAGGCAGCTTCCATTCTGGTTCTTGCTCTTGATTTTTCATCCCCATCTCTCGTCCCTGGGGTTTCCCAGGTGGCACTAGTGGTAAAGAACCCACCTGCCAATGCAGGAGACACAAGACACAAGGGTTTGATCCCTGGGTCAGATAGATGCCCTGGAGGAGGGCATGGCAGCCTGCTCCAGTATTCTTGCCTGGAGAATCCCATGGACAGAGGATCCTGGCGGGCTATTGTCCATGAGGTCTCAAGGAGTCAGACACGCCTGAAGTGATTTAGCACCCTCTCTTTCCTGCTTACAAAGCTAGAAATAACATAGGATGGTAGTTAGGGTCTGGGGGTGCTTTCAGGATTGGCATTGCTGGAGAGAACTGCCA